TGACCAGTACGGTTACTAGAATCATTACTACCACAGGTAATGCGTATATTATTTCCATAGTGATATAACATATAGCCATCAGTAGAATCATTACTGCCGCAATGTCATTAGTCCTAGTTCTCTAATGGCAAGCCAGTTTTACAGCCAATACTGCCTCCTCAGAATGTACCTCTCCACCGTCTAAAAGACATTCCCTCCATCATATAATGGGAATTTAGGTTCATTCTTTGGGGAGAGGATTAGTTCCATGTCGCACAGCGGGTCTGGACTGCTCCCGGACATGGAAAATAAAGTGAAATGAGGTTTGAAATGGATATCAGGCATAAGAAGCAGTGGCAAATCATTGAAACCCCAATTAGAATATTTCTGCGGGTGAAGTGCCCCAAATTGTTGATGCAGCTTGATCGGGTGAGCAGGTGATCTATTGTCAATTTTAGGGGTTATCAAGGGACCCTTGAGGGTGGACATAGGGGTCCCTCTTGTAGTTTCGTACCGTCCCTTAAATAGTCCCTCATAAGCAACCCATGTTCATTAAACTATGTAAGAAGTATAATTCCCCCAAACCCCAGGAAATATTGACTGTAGCTCATATACCTACACCCTAAACCCCCAACCGTATCCCCTAAACCCAAAACCCCCACAGGTGACGATCTCCTGTTCCAAGACCAATCTGGGGCATTTGGAGGGTGGTGCCGGGATGTCGGCCTTTTGCAAGCGCCTATCTCAGAGTCAACAGGGTTGAGGGCTTAGGGTTAAGGGTCTAGGGTTAAGGGTTTAGGGTTTAGGGTCTGGGAGCTGAAAGGAAGTTACCACAATTTACCACAATGTAGTAAAGCAGCAAATGTCATGGCTACTTTGTAACGGTAAAGTTTTGTGGAGCTTCCTTACAGCATCCCGTTAAAGGATGGTGGGGCGGAGCAGGCAAAGCCCAATCTCTTTCACTGCCACTAAAAGTCATTGTATTTGTAACAGTAAGAATATAAGGAACATTAAAAGTAGTAATACCAATAGTAATAGCAATAGTAATAGTGATGGTACTAAAAATAGTAATAGTACTGGTAATAGTAATTGTAATAATAGTAATAGTAATACTAGCAATAACAACAATAACAGTAATCGTTAATGGTAAGCATAGTAGTAATCGTGAGGTGCGTCCTTGCCTGCATGCACGCCGAAGCTGCGCCGAACCAGCACCTCCGCGTGCAGAACCCGAACATGGACACGGAAGGCAAACCTGGCTCCGCGGTTTAGGGTTTAGGGTTTGGGGTCTAGGGTTTAGGGTTTCGGGAATAGTACTAATAGTAATGTAGACCCCTGGTTTAAAAAAGAACCCTCCCTTTAAGGGCCTGAATATTAAGATCCCTATCATAATCCCCATTAAGGGGAGGGGATTTCTTAATCAAGGGTCTACATCAGTAGAAAACATAACCGAAGTACGAATGGTCAGAATTAATATTCGTATGAATTTTGATAGAAATAACTACAGCAATAACAGCAATAGCAATCGTCCCAGGCACAGGGTTTAGGCTTGATTGAAGCTGAACCGTTGACCCCGGACCACGCAAGTTCTTCAGTGCTTCTCTTTGCTGCTCGAAAGCTGGGACATCTGCAGATGGGCATCACAATTGTGTTAAAATATTTATACATATATATATATATACACACACACACGAGAATTGTCATCAACAGCCTAACGCGGAACCGTTACTGTAGCCTGCCAGGGAACCCTATACAGGCCCAATTTTACTGGACGGTAGTATTCACAGGGCCCTTAGGACTGGGTGTTTTGGGAGTCTAGGGTTCTGGTTTGGGTTTAGGGTTTAGGGTTAAGGCTTTAGATAGTTCAACCCTAAACTCCAAACCCTGCCGTAAGCCTAGTGGTGGGTTGGATGCCCTAAGCCCTAGCCCGACTTGGGATGAGGCCAACTTCTTCAAAGCTCGCTACACTAAAAGTTGTTGTGGCCATATGAGCTATAGTCTAAACTCCTTCAAGGGGATTATATAAAAAAAACTACTGTACAGGTTATTAAGGGGGATACTAGGAGTTTAGACTAGATCTCATGTGGCAGTTGTTCAAAATACCAGTCCTCGAAATAGCCAGAAGGAAGGTTCCGTTCGAGGTTAGGATCTCCATTTCAGGAATTGTGTTCCCGTTGATCTCTTCTTCACAAGAACCTCTAGGACAACTCCCCTGTGATTTGCAAACTCCATTTAAGTTCTCCGATTGGGCAGGCCGTAGCGGAGTAAATGCAAGACTGTGCATGCCGCGTTTTCCGCACCAGTTTCGGCCCAGAACTTAGTTCAGCAAACTGTTTGGATAATTGGAGAGTCAAACGGCAAAACTCCTTGGTGTCCTGTGCCTGATTCCGGTGCTTGCAGAGGAGGTTTGTCATGGAGAGACTTGTGATGACTCCGTGCTGATGCAGCTGCACAGATGCTCGCACTGAGAACGATGTAGGTTGTCGTGTGTATACTTTCTGCATACTGTTGATACATATATATATATATCTCTTCTGTATCTAATATGTTTGTATGGTTTTGCAAACAACTTGTCCCTAGGCATTCTCATGAAGACCCAGGGTCCCGTGAATAAAGAGTATACCGTAGGATGCTAGGATGACTTAGGGTATATTCCTTCGTTCATGAGTGTTGGAATGTTTGGGCTGTCGCAGGCCTGTAGCATCCCTAGCGCTCTACTGTCTTGATCTTCGGGAGTCGTTACTAGTCAAGGTAAGCAAAATGGACGAAGCCGGGATTCAATGGTTGGTGTGGAAGAAGACCCTTGATGGAGGGAAGTCTGGCTACCACCCCTGCTATAGTCCGTATCCCAAGCCCGCCACTACCGAAGCGCCGCCGGCACAGATGTTTCCTTGTGTCGACGCAGAACCTCAATCACCGCGCAATGTCAACGCATCCTTCGTTGGGTTAGAGCCTCCCCGCGTGAAGCCAGTCGGTTGCTGGATGAAACAGGAACCTTTCTTTAATGTCAATAGCGGGGGAAGTTTACACATAGCAGTGTTGAATTTTCACACGTGTGCAATCATGATTGCACCTGCACTGCAATTTGGGGCTGTCAGGCATTGTCGACGAGTTCCCCAACTTGATCCATGTGAACACGCACTTTCACTTGGGTGCCGAACATGGAGCTTTGATGGAGGTGAGTACTCCCTGACCGCAGACGAGGCCCTTCCCGATCCCAGCGCGATCATCCCAAATGATATTCGCACCGGTTTTTTCTGCGCTCCAGTGGATGAGCATCCAGAGAGTGGCAATCTGGATCCTTACACCTTCAAGTGGTGCCAGGATGTCAAAAAGGGCTACACCTACGAATCTCACTGGGTCTTCTCAACTGCAGGACCCAAAAACGGGGTTTTGTCCGGTGGCTTGGGTGGTGTCTTTGCTTGAGACTTGAATCCATCGGTGGTGGTGCGGGGTCAAGTGGCTCGCATCGTGAACGATCCAAGTCAGCCATACCCGAACCTAGGGCTTTCTTGAACACAGTTTGTTTTGCTTGTTCCAAACGCAGGTATAAATGCCCAATGAACAGCTAAAACGATTTTGGTTAGGGGTCCTGGACAGACATAGGAACTACGACACCACTTGGTTCGAACCAGTCAACGACGCCATGTTGTACATCGGATCCACAAGCAGTCACTCCTTCAACAATGAGATGTGCTCCCCGTTCGAAGTGACATGGTGGGTGGATCGAACGTGCCGAGAATTGTCGGCACAGAACATGGACCGGGATGTGCAAGGACTTCGTGGGCTTTGGTATCGACATGAAGCCTGATACGAGACCCGCATCATCTCGTGAACTTGTGGCACCCTTCATCTCGGACACGAATGCCACGATCATCACTTCTTCATAAGCACTGACCCGGGCAAAGTGATTCGAGCCCGGAGCATTTTGGGGAATTTTTGAGAAGTTGAAATCCTGCAAGAGCTGATTTATACAAGAAAGCCATACTTATGGAGGAAATCGTGCACCACTTAAACCCCTTAAGCTATTGTAATTCCACGGGTTTATAGCACTTAGGGTGGTGCAAGATATCCTCCATGAACAGTAGTTGCCAAGGTATAGGTTCCTAGGGTTTAGGGTTTAGGGTTTAGGATTTTTGTGTTCAACCGTATCTCCAGCTGGCTGGTCGAGAGTAGAGGGATTTATAGTCTCCCTTGGAGAGAGATAGAGTATGGGGTATATGGGGATCTTACTATTGTATACCCAAAGCCATATTCTATTTACTAAAGGCGGACTATACCCCTAAACCCTAAACCCTAAATAGTAGTTTCCATTTCCTTTTCCATTATCCCTATATAACCCCTAAAAAAAACCCTTTAAAGGGACCCATATTCTATCTACTTAGTTGAGGGATGCTTTCAACCAACCCAAAGCTTTTCCATAAATCGGGGACCTCATCCTGCTCATTGCATGGACTCCCCACCTAGTTTTGCTGCAGCCAGAGGGGATAACTGAAGTTGTGCTCAAGAGTAGTGTATGTTCAGGCTGGGGCCTTTTGGGCGAACCTGAGTACCAGAACAGCTTGATAGTATATACTGAGATAAGAATGCATTTGCAGTATCAGTTGCGCATAATTCATAGTTAGCTGGATTTTGCAAGTAGCATAGTTTCTGATGGAGATTGTTTGCGCTGGGACTCATGGCTGAAGTGCCATGTATGAACCAGGTTGCCCCAAATTTTGGAGCCGTTGCAGCTTTTCGCTGCAGGAACAAGAAATAAGTGTTTTTGCCACAGCAAACAAAGAGTTCGCGTCGGAGCACTAAGCTAGTCGTGGCACGACCAGGGGACCATACGAGTCTCCTAAAGCTAGTGCGACTCCTGCGCCCAAAAAGTTCTTTGGAGAGTATTGTTGTGCCTGTGTCTTGAGTTTACCGTTAACAGTGACGCTGTGCTTGTGTCTTGATTTTTCACTTAAGCCTGAACCCTATGCCCTCAACCCAAAGCTAAGCTTCAAAGCCTTGAGTCTACAGCCAACCCGCAGGCTGGCCGGCACTACTCCTACAGGAGGCTCAGCCGCTTAAGGGCGAGGCTTCATACGTGGCGCGGCTGGCACAGCTCGCTGGGAGCTGCTATGCAGTAGCCAGGTTTTAGGGTTTCGGGCTTAGGGTTTAGGGGTCAAATCTAGGGTGTACGGGCTGTTTAAGGTTTACGGCTAAGGCCAGGGTTTAGGGTTTAGGGCGAAAGGTTTAGGGTTGAGGGTTTGGGGCCTACCACAGATGAAGACCTCTGATATCCCGAGGCCCCTCATACAGGCCCATCACACAAAGCCCCCAGAAAGGGACCCTAGGGTTTTGGAAGCCACCGGCTGTCATCATCACACTTGAGTAGTATTTTATTTGGGGATACAATGGTACCCAATATAGAGTAAGATTATATCCTCCTTTTGGGTATAGTATATTATGAGGAATATTATCTTACTAGGTTCAACCACCAAAACAAGCACTACTCACTTGTCCCGTTGCTACTAACTCTAGGTGGGCGTCAGCGGTTTCGGCTACGGCGGCACCAACAGCCACGCGCTTGCGTTCGGCAAGAATGCCTGAAGCCAAGAGTTTGCAGGGAACAGCAGGATGATGAAAGGTCTGGATGTAGCGGGGCTGTAGCCAAACCCTAAACCCTCAACATTGATGCGCGTTTGTGGGGACAGGGTAGGGATTTACCTTGGCCGTGCAAGATCCAATGATGAACAGTTGATTGTGGCATATGCCCTTTAATTTCAACAAATCCTTGGTATTGATCAAGTTAGGGCGCCCCCTAGAATAATGACCTCGGCCCCTTAGATCCCAGACAGTTGTAATGGTTTTAAATGGATTTTGAAGGGTTCTTTTAATTAGATGTTAATGGATTTTTAGGGTCTGGGGATAGTTTGCTATAAATCTGGGGAGTTCTGAGGCCCAAACTTGTCTCCGCCTTTAAAGTTGTTTTTGACCATTAAAAAAGTTTCTCTAAAAATGCTCTGAATCTAGTGGTTTAAGTATTCAAAAGCATGGATTAGATGTTTCTACAGTTACTGTACTGGCCTTCATGCACCCGCAGGACAATTAGAGACAACGGCCTTAAACAACAAGCCCATTATTCTTACCCTAAACCCTAAACCCTAAACCTTTGGGTGCAATTTCCTTGACTCAGGTTGTCACCTCACGCGGTGGGAATGGGAAAAACTCTGCAGGGCGCTTGGAGTTTTTTTAGGGTTTAGGGTTTAGGGTTTAGGGTTTCAAGTTTAGGGTTTAGGGTTTAGGGTTTAGGGCTAAGCCCCAAAGCCTAAACCCCTCGGGTTTAGGCTTTGGTGTTCAGTCCCATATAGTAGTTTCCATGTTCTTTTCCATTATCCCTATATAACCCCAATATAAACCCTAGAATCCCTATACTATTTTCAATTTTCTTTTCCATTTTCCCAGTATTACCCAGTAGGCGGAGCTCAGGGCTCCTGGCTGTTGGTGGAGTTTCTTTAGATTAGGGGGTCTTTCTTACACATGTTAAGAGAAGCTCGGATGCCCTTTACAACCCCCTACGTGGCTCTAAACGTTCGTGGGTTGCCTGCTCTATATATACAGAATCCTGAGAATGTGCACATGTTCCGAAACAACAAGGATCCAAGCCCTCAAAAGCAAGACCTCATTCTGACGATTAGGGTTTACCGCTGATATTGGGTGATGATGATGTCGGTAGTCACGGTGATGATCAGGATGATTCGCAGGCGCTATCATTGAGATTGCATTGCAATGCGTAGAAGGGTCATGGGCAACACTTCTCGTGCGATGACCCAAAGGGTACAGCATCGCCAGTATGATGGCCGTTATCGTTCGCAGCCAGTGGTACTGCCGTCTCTTTCATCCGGTAGTTTCCATGAATAGGCACCCAATACAGACCCAAGTATATTATAATCCTTATTATGGGGACCCCCAAAATAGTACCCCCTAATTTTGGGAAAGCCCCATCTGTACTTCGAGTAGTATTATTCTTGCGTTGACCTCGGTTGCTGGCATTCTGTGAGACTAGACCGATCACCGCATACTCCTGAAGGGTGGATCCTGTAACCCCAGAACCATAAGCTTTCCAAATCCCTAACGCTACACACCCCAACTCGCCTAACCCAAAACCCTGAACGCTAAACCCAAAACGAAGCCCTAATCCTCAAACCCCCTTCCCTCAGGCCCTGACAGTGCTAAACTGGGCCCAGGCCGATACCCTTATCCGCCAAGTCCGCGCCGCACCTCCTGAGATTGCCATGGCGCCTTGCAGAGCTCCATGATTTCTGTAGTCACTGTAGTCTGCTTAGGAATTGTTTGTTCACTCTTTCTAGTATATCTCTCGAAAGAACTTGTACAAATATTAGCTTTATTATAGGCCTATGGGGACTAGATTTCTTGAGTGTCTTGGAGCTGGAGGGGATGGAGGTTTGGCTTTAGCCCAAGGGCTTAGAGTTTTGGGGATGCACGGTTTTGGGGGGTTTAGGGGTTTAAGAGCTAGGTTTGGGTGTTCAAAAGCTTTGCATATAGGGTGTCGGGCGTAGTGCAGAGGACAAGGCTCAGGGTGGAGGGGCTTAGGTTAGGGAGCTTCTCAACGCGTCAGCCTGTTCTGGGAGAGTTCCTTGAATCAGGTGGGGGGGGGATACCTCTTCAAAGGACCCCTTCTCAGCGCCCTTCTTCTTCGCATTGGTTCCTGAAGAAAGGACCTGGACCTGAAGCTACCTCTCTAAACCCTATAGTCCCCCTTAAGTAGGTCGAATATGGCTTTGGGTTTATTACGATAAGATCCCCATATACCCCATATTCTATCTACTTAAGCGGTGCTACAAACCAAAAAACAAGGGTTGCATTGGGGCTTAGGGCTTAGCTCAACGCCCCAAAGTAGGATCCCGATGGCCATGTGGTAGCCAGAGGCAAGATTGCACTTTTGGGGTTTAGGGTTTAGGGCCTTGGTAGTTGATTAACATGACTTTCTCCCCAAATTGGCCATGATGAAAAATACTTCCCTTACGTCTTCCCCTTTCGACGTACAGGAGCCTTAAACAACTTCTGCAAAGGACCGTTAACCCTATATCTTCCCTTTAGGTAATGGTATTGTTCAAAGAAGAACAGATTGAGCAGATTGCCACCAGGTTCAATCACCAAATAGCTACTCACTCGGACCTTGGCCCAACCCTAAACTTGAAAGGCTAAACCCTAAACTCGACACCCCAAACTCTAAACCCTAAACCAGCTTTTCTGACTGCTTGGCAGGTGGAAAAGAGACTTTCAAAAGATACGACCAAACCTTAGAACTCTAAACCTAAAGCTGAAAACCAGGTGGGGGACAACTTTGAAGACTGGCAGAGCAATGGTGTCCCATATCTGTCGATGAAGCCAGGCCAGTCCTACCAGGCGGATTTCAGGGTTTAGGGTTGGGGGTTTTCGGGTTAGGGTGTGGGGTTCAGGGTTTAGGGTTTAGGGTCTAGGGCTGAAAGAACATGGCAAAACAAAATGGGATTTGCGACTGTCTAGGCGAAGCCCTAATCCAGGATTATGGCTCGAGGGTGTGACACCCAGGGTGTGCTAATGCGTTAGGTAACCTACTTGGAAACCTTTACATAGGGTTACGAAGTGGGGGTTGCCCAGAATAGGCTACAGACCGTATAGGAATCGTTATGGGATCATGGGTTTTCCTCAGTGATCGTGGTAGGGAATATTTTCTGATAACAACATGTTTTCGGATTTAAGGCTTAGCAGAGCTCCTCCATGCTTCACTAAGCAAATGAAGGTTGGGCAAGAAGTTATGTAGGATGCTACTATATAGTATGTTGCCTAGCTTTGGGGCCTCTCAAAGGACTCCCTAAGGATTCGACCCCGAACGAACCTCCTTGGTTGGCTTTATTTGGCTTTCTCAGTCAACTCGAAGACCTCTTCTCAAACTTCACTGGGGAGGATCCTTTTTTTCTCGGATGCGTTTCCTAGCTCACTGTTTGCTGATAATTTGTGGGACTTACTGCACTTGTGAGATCTGTTCGGAGCTTCAAGTGAGCAAGCAGAGGTGGACATCATGGAGGGCGGCCGAGTCTTGGAGGAGCATTCAAAGGTGGACCGTTGCCTTAGCATCTGCAAGTGGCTGTTGGTAATGTACAACAAGCCTAAACCCTTGTTGAGATGATCGTTGATAGCGTAAGGGGCCACAAAGTTAGAGCAGGGGCTCCGGTGGTATGTTCTCATCCCTCCCCTGTTAAGTAATCTTCCCCACCCCTGTAAACCCTAAACCTTCCAATGTACTGCCATTATATAGTGGGGGGGGGATAATCTTTGTAATGATTTCAGGCCCGGGCTTTAGGGGGATTTAGGATATAGATGTAAGGTTCAGGGTTTAGGGTTTGGAGTTCTAGACATGTTTCAAAGTAGGTGTTCGTTCTCCGCTGGCCACCTGACCTCCAAACCAATGTACTCAATATCCAAGTTGTGTTTGCAGTTTTTGTTGCCCCCTGCGCTAGCGCACAGATTGTCGTATATCAACGGTTCTTCAGACTTCTTGGAATTAGCCTGCAACCTGGCACCCGAACACCTCAACCCCAAATCCTAAATCCTTAAGCCTGGTCCTAAGCCAAGGAACCTTCTGGTCTGAAGTCCCCTCAATGAAGCCCAAGTCTGTGAACTCTTTGGCCATCCAGGGATCTTTCAATGGCCGCTTTGCTGAAGCATGCCAAGCTATTTCATCACTGATATTATAGTATTATAATTATTTCGATTGCTACTATTACTGCTGCTGCTACTACTACTACTACTACGACGACGACGACTACTACGACGACGATGACGACGACGACTGCTGCTACTACTACT